CCGGGGCGGCCCCAAGGGGAGCGGGGGCCCGCGGCGGGTACGGGCTGGCGGAGCCCCGACGGCGGTCGCGGCCCCGGAACTCCCCCGCCGCGTGTCCCCGGGGAAGGCGACGCCGGCCGCCCGGCTCCCAGCGCGGTGCGCCCGGGGCTCCCGGAGCCTGTCGGGAGCCGCGCCGCAGGCGGAACCGGGTTCTGCAGCCCGAGGCGGCGCGTCTCCAGCCCTTGGCCCGAGTGTTTCTCCGGGAACTGGTTTCAGACGGGCGCCTGCGCCTCACAAAGAGGCGTGTTGTTCGGGAGCCGACAGGTGGCGGCTGAAACCCGAGTCTGTGTGTACACGGGGGCCGGTCTGGCCACGTTTCCTGGGGCCGCCGTTGCCAGGAGCGCGGCCCCGGGAGGTGGCGCCCGGCCCGTGAGGACGCCCCGCGGGCTCCGGTGCCCGACCCCGGGCCGCCGTCCGGCGAGGGCCGCGCTGTCAGTGGGTTTCCTGCGTTTGTTCGGCCCTCTGGCTGCTGTGGGATGTGTGTGTGCGTGAAATCAGTGCTTGGGAACCCTGCACAGCCCATTTCCTCTTGGAAAAATGGACAGCTTCGTGGCCATGGCGTGACCACGACAGGCTTCTCGCTGGCAGAAAATGGGTGAGGGTTTACCTGGAAAATATAGAAAATGCCAAAGGGCACGTGGCCTAATGCCACTAGCTGCTGGGTGAGGTGCTTTCAGTAAAGGCGGCTCCCTGGGCTGTGTGTTCGGACACCTTCGCTGCTCTTGCTTCAGCCACCTCCGCGGTTCATTTCAGTAGAGGTGACATTGAAGGGGCTCTGCAGGCAACGACTTTTGCCTTTAGCCCACATAGGCACCCAGTGCCCTGTGGGTGTGTGAAAACTGTAAAGTGCTAACAGTTTAGTGTCTCTACTAGAAATTCAAACCTTCGTTGTTAACAGTTTTGATACCTATGGCTTTTATAGGTCTCTGGCCTTTTTTTTTTTTAGCTTTGAGTTAAGGACACCATAAACAAGGAAATATGCATATCCATAGGGTTGTAATCTTTGTGTTGAAAAGAATGGGAGTGTTAGCAGGTTTCCTAGGACCAGATGAGTCTGTAGTTAAATGGAATTCACCTGCACATTTAAGCCTAGAAGAATGACAGTAACTCTTGAATGGGTGTGTGGGGTCGGCCTCTTCTGTGTCCTAAGACCTTGTTGACAAGCAGTCGAACAAAGAAGTTGTTAAGCAGTTTGCGGCCCACCGGAAGGCACCCGGCAGCAGGGGGCATGGAGGGAAGGCCAGCCCCACTGACCCCACAAATCAGTATCTGCCCTGGGCTTTGGTGATCAAAGAGTTTCCAAGCTCCCTGGGCGTGTCCACGCAGGGGTCCTGCAAGGCTGCAGGAGTCCTCACAGGGGAACTAGCGCGGAATTTCCCCGGCAGAGGGATTTGCAGTTAGGCCTATGACCTCACACTTCTTCATGTGCAGTGGCAGGCACTGAAAATTACTGTTTTCTGTTCACATGATTTTGATTTGATTTTGTGACTTGGCCCAAGACAATGATGAGTAGGGACCATACCAGAATGGACACACAGTTATGATCTCAATCTGTACCTAACTGAACTCATTCTCCTCAACCCCCACAAGTCCTCACTCCCTTTCTGACTAGCCTGGGTAGTAGTTCCCTATTGGTACACGGTTTTTCAATCACCTAAGACGGAAAACTATCTTTGGCCCAATTTCTCTTTGTTTAGCTCCCAAGCCATCACATTTATGTGGATGACAGTGGAGTAATAGGGCCTCCCAGGTTCCTGATCCCTTTCCTGACCATCACTACCCTATTAATATCCTTTAAGACAGGAGTGGCACTCTCCTAACATGGCTTTTGTCTTTTCCCATTGCCTCGATGGTTCAGTCCAAAGCCTTCGCCTGATACATACGATTATTGAAATGTCAGGGCTACGATTGCCATCAATTGTTGCTTCTTTGGAAGAATCTGTCTTCCAGTGAAAATGCAGACTTTTTACTGCCCCTGGACCTTCATAGTCAATACTGACTTACTAAGCTTTTTAGGGAGTAATAGTAAAGGCTCATTTATGTGTATGCCAAGGTCAATGAAAATACTAATTCTCAGCTATCCTGGAAGTACCATAGAGCCCAGCAGAAAATAAATGATCCCCAAGTGACCAAAAGAGCAGAGCAAAATAATAAAGCTGCTTTTAGTTTGAGTAACACCCTCACATATTGTATGTTATCTTATTTAAGCAGTGATGACCATGCACATGGAAGGGGTAAGCCATTGTCCACAGGGTAGTTACTCCGTGTACTTGTACACATTTTTTCAAGCTGCAGTTGCCTGTTTACAGAATATTGAAAGTGACAAACTAAAAAAGATAAAGAAGTTGTTAAGCAGTTTGCGGCCCACCGGAAGGCACCCGGCAGCAGGGGGCATGGAGGGAAGGCCAGCCCCACTGACCCCACAAATCAGTATCTGCCCTGGGCTTTGGTGATCAAAGAGTTTCCAAGCTCCCTGGGCGTGTCCACGCAGGGGTCCTGCAAGGCTGCAGGAGTCCTCACAGGGGAACTAGCGCGGAATTTCCCCGGCAGAGGGATTTGCAGTTAGGCCTATGACCTCACACTTCTTCATGTGCAGTGGCAGGCACTGAAAATTACTGTTTTCTGTTCACATGATTTTGATTTGATTTTGTGACTTGGCCCAAGACAATGATGAGTAGGGACCATACCAGAATGGACACACAGTTATGATCTCAATCTGTACCTAACTGAACTCATTCTCCTCAACCCCCACAAGTCCTCACTCCCTTTCTGACTAGCCTGGGTAGTAGTTCCCTATTGGTACACGGTTTTTCAATCACCTAAGACGGAAAACTATCTTTGGCCCAATTTCTCTTTGTTTAGCTCCCAAGCCATCACATTTATGTGGATGACAGTGGAGTAATAGGGCCTCCCAGGTTCCTGATCCCTTTCCTGACCATCACTACCCTATTAATATCCTTTAAGACAGGAGTGGCACTCTCCTAACATGGCTTTTGTCTTTTCCCATTGCCTCGATGGTTCAGTCCAAAGCCTTCGCCTGATACATACGATTATTGAAATGTCAGGGCTACGATTGCCATCAATTGTTGCTTCTTTGGAAGAATCTGTCTTCCAGTGAAAATGCAGACTTTTTACTGCCCCTGGACCTTCATAGTCAATACTGACTTACTAAGCTTTTTAGGGAGTAATAGTAAAGGCTCATTTATGTGTATGCCAAGGTCAATGAAAATACTAATTCTCAGCTATCCTGGAAGTACCATAGAGCCCAGCAGAAAATAAATGATCCCCAAGTGACCAAAAGAGCAGAGCAAAATAATAAAGCTGCTTTTAGTTTGAGTAACACCCTCACATATTGTATGTTATCTTATTTAAGCAGTGATGACCATGCACATGGAAGGGGTAAGCCATTGTCCACAGGGTAGTTACTCCGTGTACTTGTACACATTTTTTCAAGCTGCAGTTGCCTGTTTACAGAATATTGAAAGTGACAAACTAAAAAAGATTTGGAGGTTGTCGGTGCAGGCAAAGGAAAAAGGGTATTTACTTGATAAAAAAAAACCTGAAGTGGCAGGAATTCAAATGCGAGAACAGGGAGAAAAAAACCTGTAAAATGCTTGGTCACCCTACAGTCACGGGTCTGGGCCCTGCAGTCGCAGACACAAACTCTGCCCTGTGAGGCGGCCCTGAACTCCTCGCATTGCTACTGAGGAGTGAGGCCCCCGGGCCGCTCCCGGCTGGGTGGACACCTGAGGACTGCAGATCCTGAGGCCAGCGTTCTCCTGCTGTTGATCTTCCACGCAGAACGCAGAACGGGAGCAGATGACCAGCCCAAGGCTGAGATCACCTATGATTGACACACAAACCACTATTAAAGAAAGCAAGGAAATGTGTAATAGGATTTGGAACCATTCTTTATCATGGTAGCTACTTTTTTCTGTTAGTTTTAGTTTTTAATGGAGTAAATGTCAGATGGTCATCTTTCGCTATTTCCCAGAACCGCTCGGTAATGGTCTTTCAGGATGAATGAGGGAGTAAATGGATCTGGAAAGTTAATTTCCTAAGGAAGCCCCCCTTTGTGTCAGGGTGTTGGATGAACAAGGCCACACTTGAATTTGGGGAATGAGTGCCAGCTCACAGTCAAGCACATACTGGGCTCATGATTGCTGCTCTGTCCGCCTGGGACACCTGGAAAGACCCTCGTGCCCTGTAGACACTATGGAAGGACTGGGTAGAAGCTGAGTCCAGGAGAAATGAGAAGGGTGGCCAAAGTTTTTCAAAATTGTTTGCCCTTCAGGAAGCTAGAGCCCTCTCAGATTCAAAATAGAAGGTGAAACTCAGGCCTTGACATTCGGTCTTTATTTCATGTTCCTACTCAGATGTCCCTGGTCAGTGTCAAGAAAATCTGCATAGTCAACAGTGGAAGGAACAATGCCAACTGGCATGTCAGTTAGTAAGTGTGATTCTTTATATTAATGTAGTTCTTTTCTTCTTTAAAACTTTCACTTCCTTCTACCATTTTTGGAAGGAAAATTATTGCTGTTTAGAGAAACAGGCCCCTCGGTGTTTGGCTTTTAAAGGAATGCCCACGTCAGGGCTGTGTTTGCCGGACGCCGAGCCCCGGATCCCATCCCCGGAGTCCTGCTCGGGCCCCCGAGCCGGCTGTGCGCTGGCCGGTCACACGATGACTGGGAAGTCATACACCTGTGAGCGGTCTGCCTTTGAGTCTTTTTCAGCGGTGAGAAGTAGCTATTTGACTTCTGAAGGAAGAGCAAGAAAGGCCGGAGGGATGGACGCCGTCCACTCTGGGGCGTGGCTTGTTCGGGAAACTCCCACTGTAATCTTTGCCTTTCTAAGAAAAGACGTCTCTGCTCTCCCCTCACACTTGGGCTTCTTCCCCTCGTGTCCATGCCCTGTTCTTTTGTTGTCATTCATTTCTCTCCTTGACTTCTACGGTGGAGGTTTGTCTTCCCTTCAAGATAGTGTCTGCAGGTGACTCATGACTTTCTGGAATTCAAACGCCTGTCCTGCGTGCCGGAGCTCAGTGCCACCTCTGACCATGCCGTTGGCTCAGCTGCTGTTTCCTTACGCATTTCCTTCCTGCTCAGACTCTGGCACCCAGACAGACCCGTACCTGAAAGCCGCTCCACCTCTTTCCCCTGCATTATGACGCATGTTCACATTCAGGTTGTAGAGAGACCTTGGAGAGGGGAGGGCCCTGCTCACTCACTCCCTCAGCAGGGGCAAACCTAGCACAGGACCGCGTGCTGTGTGATCGTCGTTGCCGTGCGACCGGCTTCGTACAGTTTGCTACAGCATTTCAAGACCAGGATGGTAACCCTGCCTCAGAATAATCACAGAAAATGATGGCTCGAGCTATTTTAGCTTTTTATTCTACTTAGCACCTAACAGGATGCCTTACACATTTTTAAAAAATGTAATATATCTTTTAAAAAGGTACCATGCTTAACTGTTGTAGTTAGGTAAGAATGTAAAAAATATTTTCAAATGATTCTCACAGAGTGTGTGTGAGAAAGAGGTTGATGATGATAAAGGAAGCGAAGTGTCGCAAGTGATGAGTCCAGGGAAAAGCTATAACAGAGGTGCTTACTCATCCTGCAACTTCTTTTCTGAAATGGCATCAAAATAGAAATTCACAAGAATAAATAAAATACAAGATAGAGGAGAGGACCACTCTTGTCCCTCTGTGGTTTTGCAAAAAAAAAAAAAAAAATCTTGAGAAAAATGTTTCACTCTATATCATAACCCCAACTTTAAATAGTTCTCTTTTCTTTATAATTCAACTCATTTGTAAACCCGAATGTGTCCATATTTCACCTGATCGATCTTAAGAGACAACTCCTGGTAATGAAGTTAGTGGAATTCTATTTGATGTCAGTCACGCATGCTTTTGTGTTCAGCCTGAAAGGTGGCACTTTGGTAGAACAAACACAACCACATTTAGACAGAATCAGGAACACCCTTCATGGCCCAGAGCATAAGGCCCCCTTTCTAGTGGGCTCTCAAGGCAAAAATCAAATCACAAGTCAGTGCCTGTGTAAGGGGTATTTGTGAGATCACTTCTATTTATCACCTTTATTACTGTAACAATTACAAGTACAGGAATCATGCTCAGGTGTCAGCGGCTTCCATGCAGCGCAGTTTGAGACGGTGATAGGCTTATGAATGTATGCACTGGGTCTGCTGCCATGCATATGCACAGGTAATTTTAAAAGGAAAAAAGAAAAACCCAAATTAAAGTTGTTGTGTTATCAGGTCTAAGAAGTAGCTAGTGGTCATGAAGCATCTCATCACAGCCTGGTTAAGTGGCGGCCATGTTATGTCACCTGGCCAATAACAGTGTCATGTTTTGCCATTTTAAGTAATTATTCTCTGATAAAAAGGAAAAAGAAACTTTCTCCAGAATAAACTCCAAACCAACAGCTCATGAGGCCATTGAATTTTTATAATCCATTTGGACTGTATGTTCTTCTCAAAATGCCTCCTCTGGGCAAGATGGACTGCGTCCCAGGAGTCACACCGTCGCCGTGTCTGTGGCGCACCGGCGCGGCCAGTTCCGAGGACAGGGAACCGGTGGGATGAGGCCCCACCCCCTTTATATCTGAGGCCATTGCCTCCTCTGCTGAGCAGGATACGCCTCCCTTGAGCTGCTTGATGTGATTCAGCCAGGCCGGGTACAGAGCAAGGCGGCTGCCAGGGTGCCGGCAGACGGAGCCGAAGGCCCTGCCCGCGACAGAAGTGACTTCAGGTGTGCTCTTCGCTGTCCAGGACTGGGTCCTAGTGGGATGACCGCGTGGGAGTCGAGGGCTTGTGGTGAGGCAGCGGGTGCCGACGACTGGGAGGGAGAAGCGTGATGGTGGCTGCTGGGGCCGAGGGTGACTGTCCTTGGTTGGCACAGTAATGTACGGCACCCTTTGTGCAGGCTGACCAAGGGATCATTCCTTTACAGCTGTAAGGGATTCAGACCCTTGGCCTCTGCGTCACCAGGCCGGCCCGGAGAACCCGTGGCCTGTCTTAATTTCCAGTGTTTTGTTTTAGGATACAGGGACATTTAATTTTTAGGTTCTAGTTAATATTTACGTTCTTTGTAAGTTTCTGCAGGGCAGCGTCTCTTCTTGCTGTATTTAGCAAGGACAAAGTACGTACTTCATGATTCAGGTTGAACTGCATTGAAGGCACCTGTTCTCTTCCTTTGACATGTGGAAGTTGTTTTTTGTTGTTTTTTTTTCAAGCAAAAGGAAAGACTCGATCCAAGAAATAGTTTCTTTCATTCACACATCCTTTTTATTGAGAAGGAAGGGGAATATGCCCTTGTTTAGAAAGCCTTCCCTAAGTCGAGACATGAGTGAATGGCACCTGTGTGAAACGACGTGTTTAAAAGGCCACAAGCTCCCAGCGGTAGTGTAGGAAATGAGGTCGTCTCTACTTTTGTTCAGGGTGAATGAAAGTTGAATTTATTAGTTGGAATAATATCCGCTGTGTGGTATTGCTCCTCCAGCCAGTAGAGAGTGTAACCACTGGATGACTGGCCTTCCATTTGTGAACTGCTTTAACTTCCATTTTTTTAATGTTCTTTGATTTATAAAGGAAAAACCATAAGTTGTAACAATCACAGGTTGGAATAGGTACCATCTTCCTGTAACGTAAGTCTTTGTAGAGTTGCACTGACAGCTGCCATGAAAGGACAGCTTCAGGCTGAGGTTTTCCTGCCTTTCCCACTTGTTTAAGCAAGTGAGAGAATTTTTTAAGGGCAAAATGGGAATTTTAGGAGGACTGTTTGGAAGTCTCATGTGTCAGGCATGTAGTGTGATTGGACTGGCTTAGCTGTGTGAGCTCAGGCAGGTCACTTAGCTTCCCTGGGCCTTGTTCTCTGAACTTGGGTCAGGCTGATGATGTGTGATTGCTTTCTTCCTTTGGTGGAGAAAAGGGGCAGGTATGAAAAGCTGTATCTGATTCTTGTATCTTTTTTTCTTCTTAGTGTCTTAGGATGAGAGATGATTTTTAAAATCAGAAGAATCTTACAAGGAATATAAATGGTGAAAACAGAGTCCCTGGGCTGTAGGGCAGACTGTTGTGTCACAGCTTTATAGCCCTTCATCTGAGGGGCCTTTCCCTGCAGGGCGGGACCCCATCTCCCCCCAGTGGCAGCCTGATGGGCCGTCACACATAGTAGGTGCCGCATACCTTGTCAGTCATGCCTGCTGATAAGGCACTTCAGCGCCTAATGGTCACCAAGCCTGAGTTCAGCCTAGTGCTTGGATTCAATTTCTTTTTGTTGAAGGAACTCATTAATGGACGTCTGACTGACTTTAGCCCATAGATAGTAAAGGCTGTGGCCTTAACGTGCTATATATGCATTTAAGTGTGCTGTTTCTTCTCAATGAGTAAACCAAGTTTAGTGTCTCTCCAAACGTGATTAGAAGCCTGAAACCTAAGCAGTCTTGCTCAGCGGCCCTGTGGGCAGTTGGGAAAGCTGCCGAGGAAAATCGGGAGCAGAGTGGGGTCCCTGGAGCTGCTGGTCCTGGCACAGAGTGGGCACGGCAGGGGGCAGCCCAAGCCCGACACGCGTAGCCTCAGCCCATGGGTCGCCACGGGGTTTCATCTGTGGGAAAGGCAGGAAGTCCACACGGCCATTTTCTCGGGAACGTTGCTAATGAATGGCGTGAAGAGAGGAACCTTCTAAAGGCAACTGGAGCCCAGGGAGTATGGCAGCATTTTCTGAATGCTGAGTTGGTAGGGGGCTATTTCCGAATGGTGTGGGCCTGGGCCTGGGGGAGGGGACACTTGCAGTTGGGTGACTTTCCCAGGGCCCAGCTGTGCGACATGCAGCCTGGAACAGAGGCTCGGGGAGGGTGGGAGTCGTGCCCTCAGGTTCTCAGTTGCCTTCTCTCATGGATTGTCCACAGCAGCCACTGCCTGACGTCCTGTGACTGAGGAGCCGGCCTTGTAACTTGATGGGCATGCCTTTGGAGATGGAGCCCAAAATGAGCAAGCTGGCCTTTGGGTACCAGAGAAGTTCCACGTCCGATGACGATTCCGGCTGCGCGCTGGAGGAGTACGCCTGGGTGCCCCCGGGCCTCAGGCCGGAGCAGGTAGGAGCCGTCATCCACTGTGCTCTTTTTTCAGCGAGATTTCAGATTTTTAAGAATGAGAGAGAAGTTAGTAGTCTAGGACACCCCTGCACGCTGACATGCTGCTCCTCAGCCCTCCCTCCTCTCTGCAGAGTTTAACGGTTTGCTTTTCAAGGTCATCCTTAGTCTCTCGGTGAGTCTTCAGCCCCTCCTGGGCTCATGGTCCAGAAGCCCTCTCATGATGCTCTTTGCTGCAATGAGTGATGTTCGGATAACTGCCTACGTGTTTGTTCCGTGGGTTTCTGACCAATCCCTTTGGAGGGAGGGAGAGGAATTTAGCCTTTTAAAAAACATGAGTAACAATAAAAAGGTAATAAAAGGAAGGAGAGTTTCCACACCAGTTCTCAGCAATGCTTTTGCTTTAGAAGAGCCAAACAGCTGTGAGGGGCCACCTGAAGTGTTACTGCCGAGACATCTGACCTTGGATAACCTTGCACATGAAAGAATACCACACAGTGTGAATTGGGAAAACTTAAGTTAATTCTGTGCTTTGTATTGTTACGGTAAGCAAGACAGGAACAGTCTAGATGCCTAATTTTACTTTCCCAGCAGCCTTATTTACGTGATGGACTTAGAAGCCCCAGGTGACAGGTCTCCTTCTAAGGGCCAAGGTGTGACCTGAAATGAAAGACGCTACTCTGTGTGCGTTTGCCTCTGTGCCACAGTTGCTACCCGCCTGGGGGACCTCCCTTGAGAGCAGGGTCTCTCACCCCTCCGGGCCCCGGGCTGGGACCTGGCACGCCTGTGCAGCTGACGCAGAGGGCAGGGTGGACGCCTGGCACACTGGTTAGGAAAGCAGTATTTTGACAAACTGCTTATTGAAGGAGAACCCTTCTTTCAGCTGAGTGGGGTGGGTTATACATGGCATTCAGACGGGCCCCCGATTACCTCCTCTCACCTTTTTCCTTGAGTCCCTTTATTCCTTCCCAGCACTGCAGGACCCTCTCCTTTAATACAATAGGGAAAAACCCAGCCAGGTCCCGAGTTCTCCTTCCCAAATGAACTGAGCACAGCTTGGGATGGCTCCCCTCGAATCTCAGGGACACTGAGTCCAGGTATTTAGAAAGTGACACTCATGGAAGCAAAGAAAGCTGACGCTTGAGAGAACCTGATAAGGGGGGCGACAGAGTTTAACCAAACAGCTCTGTCTCTATGACGTATGCAACTCGGGGCCAAGGCAGGGGCCTGCGTGGCCGGATTTCGGGTGGTCACACGGCCGTGTGGGCGTCGGTAGCTCTCCCCTAACTCTCTCAGCAGACTGGCCAAGGAGTAGAAATGTGCATATTTTATGGCACATGATTTATGATGCCCCTCCTGCCACTACAAGTCGCATTCCTGAAGAGCAGTTTCACAGCTGGGTGCTAGGCATCCGAGGCCGCAGTGCAGCCGAGCGGGCTCAGCTGGTGTGCTCGTCAACCAGCAGAGGCCAGACCCTGTACCTGAAGGGAAAGGCAGCTTTGTGACCTGGGCAGGAAGGGAAGATATTCACTTTCTGTGCGCTGACATCCTCTCGGTCTCTTGTGCAGATCCAGCTCTATTTTGCTTGTTTACCAGAGGAGAAGGTTCCTTACGTTAACAGCCTTGGAGAGAAACATCGAATTAAACAGCTTCTGTACCAGTTGCCACCACATGATAATGAGGTAATAGAACAGGAAGAAGGCCTAATTAGAAAAAAAAAAAATCACACACTGAGCATTGAAATGCCTCTCATAGACCCAGCCCCTCACTGGCTCGGGCTCTCTTTCTGCCTTCATTCAGTTAAAATTAGGCTGAAGAATGCAGCTTTCCATTCTTTGAGAGAGAAAAGGGTGTTGTGCAATAAACACAAGTTGATTTTTATAGTGTTTGCAGCCACCCACCAATCGTCAGAGCCTACAGATTCCTGAGATTCCCCTGCCCCTTCCCCAGTCCCTGCATCACCATAGCTCAGGCCTGCAGGAGAACTGGGTGCTGTAGAGAGCAGAGTGGAAGTGGCAATTAAGTTTAAATCTTTTGTAGAAAGGTTAATGTCTTAATTTTTTTTTAGTGTCTCTACTGATAAGAGTTTAACCATTTCATTTTTTTTTTTTTAAAAAGCTGTAATTTCAAACTGTATTTCCCTTTTGCTAAAGAGGCTGCAAGATTAGGTGCCAAAAGATATGGTGTCATCTCTAAATTGGGGATACATGGGGCATGCAACTAAACGTGCTGTTTTCCTGAAACTAACCCTGGAATTAAGAACTGGTGAGGGCGACTGTCTGCCCCAGGGCCGTGCTTCTGTCTCCCTTCCTGTGAAGGTGCGGTACTGCCAGTCCTTGAGTGAAGAGGAGAAAAAAGAATTGCAAGTGTTTAGTGCTCAGCGGAAGAAAGAAGCACTTGGAAGAGGGACCATTAAGCTTCTGTCCAGAGCAGCAATGCGCACTGTGTGCGAGCAGGTAGCCCTCGCCGGACGGGTGCCCGAGGTGGGGCGGGGGTGCAGTGAGCCGGGGTAGATGACGGGGCAGACACAGGCTTGGGCCCGAAACAGCCTCTAAAAAAGAAAAGGGAAAGAAGAGCAATTTGGCTTTTTATTAAATGGGGATTAATGCTAACTGGCTGCACTGCTGTGTATGACAGGGTGGCCAGTCTGTCCGTAGGTAAACATTGGGCGAAATCCTGCCTTTTGTCGGGCCCTGGCGTGGAGGGAGGTGCTAGGGTTCACCTAGTGTTCACGAGATACAGACATAACGAAGACACACCGATGGTTCCTGGCCATTCCCAGGGTAGGAAATGTATCCAGTAGGAGGCCCCTTCAGGAAGACCTCTCCGAGCGTGAGTCAGATGAAGCCGTTCCTAGAAAGCGTCTGGTGGGGATTAATCTGAGGCATGTTCATTCCAGTTGAGAATCACACACAGTCCAGCACTGAAGAACTATTTAATCACCCACAGGATGGGACAAATATAAAGGCTTTCCTGACAAATTTGGGGTTTAGTGTAACATGGGAAACACTGAGAACCTAGTTATTAAAGGAGGATTATTTTAAATTCAAATCCTTTTGTTTCTAGTGTGGGCTGAAGATAAATGGAGGTGAAATTGCAGTGTTCGCCTCCCGCGCGGGCCCCGGCGTGTGCTGGCACCCTTCCTGTTTTGTCTGCTTCACGTGTAGCGAGCTGCTCGTCGACCTCATCTATTTTTATCAGGATGGAAAAATCCACTGCGGCAGGCACCATGCCGAGCTGCTCAAACCACGGTGCTCAGCATGTGATGAGGTAACGGAGCTCACCCTGAGCGCTGGAGAAAATAAGCTTCCGGTCAGCCAGTGTTCCACTGTCGCACGTGGGCAGAATACCACCTGCTTTTGTTCTCTGTGTTTTTACAGTCACCCTGTACTTTCACACAGTGGAATGACACACAGCTGACCAAGGGAAGGCAGCAGGTGTCTTTGTGCACTGAGAAGTAGGATGTCCTTGATGGACTGTTAGGGAGAAATAAGTTACGAGCCGAGTATGTAGCACATGATCTTAGTTTGGTTCAACCAAGATTGGGCAAAAATGTGACCAAATGAATTGTCTCCAATATAGAAATGTTTTGTTTTTTAAAATTTAAGCAAGCATTTAGTTTCTCTTTCAACATTTTCAATTCCTGCTCCTGTTTTGTAGCCAAATCAAGTTAATTTACGCGTGAGGCTGTCAGAAACAAGGTTAGCTGTCTCATTTCTTGAAGAGCCAGTGTCTGTCAGTTGCCCGAAACATGCAGTCACTTAGCCTTTAAAACAGCACTCAGAGATGTTCTTTTGCCCTATGGTCTCATGTTTCTCTTTAAAGATAATTTTTGCCGATGAGTGCACAGAAGCTGAGGGTCGCCACTGGCACATGAACCACTTCTGCTGCCTGGAGTGCGAGGCGGTCCTAGGAGGGCAGAGGTACATCATGAAGGACAGCCGCCCGTTCTGCTGCGGCTGCTTCGAGTCCCTGTACGCCGAGTACTGTGAGGCCTGCGGGCAGCACATCGGTGAGCTTGCCCCACACGCCCAGTCTGTCTGTGACTGTCAAGTCTTTTCTTTCTTTTCCAGTTGAGGTGTGACTTATATACAGTGAAATGTACAGGTCTTCAGTGTTTCAATTTGATGAGTTTTGACCAGTGGATAGTCAGCTCTTGTTATTTGTGGTAGCTGCATTAAGTTCCCCTGAATCAGTCAACACTAAATCATTGCCCCGTGGGAAATGCAGGGTGAGGCTCCTCTGAGTCTCTGGTCACATTTTAATCAAGAGTACATCATATCTTGTCACGTGTGTTTTTGGTTTGAAGACACCTTATCTAATATATATTGTTGATTAACACTGAACTCAGAGCCATCTTATCTGACACATGTATTTTCTGTACCTCGTGCTTAAGAACCCTGGACAGCACTTTAGCACTAGGCTCGGGGGCCACTTTGAATAGTGAAGGTAACAGAAAGCATGAAAATGCAAAGGAAACATGGTCTAGATAGGCCAGCGTTTCAGCTGCTGGCAGTGTGGCGGCTGAAACAGAAGGCAGGGCACCGCTTTGTTTGACCTCAGCTGGGAACATGTGTACTGACCACCTCACAGTTTTCCCCACTCTGCACGTTTGCAAATGACGGTGAAACCTCGGCAGGTACTGATTTTGGGGTTGCAGTTAGACTTTAGCAAGTAGGAAAACTTGCTAATATGGGCTCTGCAATTAATGAGAATTAACTGTGCCTGAGTGACCCACAAGCCAGCAAGGCATGAAACGCTTCCACCTCCCGAGAGCTCCCGTGTGCCCAGCGTCCTTCTCCGTTTCTCCCTTTTTCCCTTGTTTGAAGATTGAACTGCAGCCTGTTATTCTGTCCTTTTTCAAATAGGTGTGGACCATGCACAGATGACCTACGATGGGCAGCACTGGCACGCTACAGAGGCCTGCTTTTCTTGTGCCCAGTGTAAAGCCTCTTTGCTGGGATGTCCCTTCCTTCCCAAACAAGGTCAGATTTACTGCTCAAAAACATGCAGTCTCGGCGAAGATGTCCATGCCTCTGATTCTTCTGACTCGGCATTTCAGTCAGCGCGGTCAAGAGACTCCAGAAGAAGTGTCCGGATGGGCAAAAGCAGTCGGTCAGCGGATCAGTGTAGACAGTCCCTCCTCTTGTCCCCTGCTCTGAACTACAAGTTTCCAGGCCTTTCTGGCAATGCTGACGATACCCTTTCTCGGAAATTGGATGATTTGAGTCTCTCCAGGCAGGGAGCAGGTTTTGTCAATGAAGAATTTTGGAAAGGTAGGGCAGAGCACGGAACCCCAGAAGACCCTGAAGAATGGGCCGAGCATGAAGATTATATGACGCAGCTCCTCCTCAAGTTTGGCGATAAAAGCCTCTTGCAGCAGCAGCCCAGTGACATGGACATTCGAGCCAGTGAGCACTGGATATCTGACAACATGGTTAAAAATAAGGCCGAGTTAAAGGAACATAACCAGAGCCTTGCAAGTAAAAAATACCAGTCTGGTATGTACTGGGCACAGTCTCAAGATGGGCTGGGTGACTCTGCCTACGGCAGCCACCCCGGCCCCGCCAGCAGCCGGAGGCTGCAGGAGCTGGACCTGGACCACGGGGCTTCGGGATACAGCCCTGACCAGACCCAGTGGTACGCAGGCTCCCTGGAGTGTCTGTCAGACTTGAAGGCAGAGCAGAGCGTTCGGGATTCTGTGGATTCTCTGGCTTTGTCTAACATCACAGGTGTGTCATCTAGGGATTATGGGCATTTGAAAACGCCGCTAAAACGTTTCTTCCCAAAGTCCCGGTTCAGTACCAGTAGGGGTTGTGTTATTTAAAACTGAAGAGTAAGGGGAGGAAGGAGTTTCCATTCAATGCCAAACAACACTACAGCAGAACAAACCTATACATACATGCGTGCATATATAGAAAATATATTTTTGATATAACCTTTTTAAGTAGGTATTATTACCCTTACTTAAAGAGGAGGAAATTAATTTATGTGGATAATGCCATCTGCATCTGTGAAAAGGTCCTGCATTCTTCTAGATTATGCTGTATAAATTGAAGATATTTGAATCGGTCTGCACACTTTATAAATGCCTAACATTTTTGGCATTTTCCTGAATTGCCCTGTGGCACCAGATAGCTCAGAAAGAGCCAAATACTCTTTACCCAAACTATACAATAACTTCACATTAATGGTTTTATGCACATTCATATGAGTTACCCACATCTTATCCTTAAAATGACCCTGACCTGTATAGAGTGGACATTAATTGCATTTTACAAATGAGGAAACTTGAATTACCGAGAGGCTAAATGCCTAACGTTACATAGGTTTTTAGAGGCCGGACTGAGCCTGGAACCCAGGTCTCCTGAAGCTCCTTTCTGTGGTAACTCTCTGCACCCAGAAATACTGCCGCCACCTGGCTGGTTTTATGGCCACACTAATGACATCAGTCCTTCCATAAAGGCCACGTTACTGTAAGAGAGGAGAGGCTTCGGGGCTGCTCAGCCAAATGCTGCAGGGGCAACGAGGGGAACACAGTATGCCCCCCAGTTCTGTTGGCTTGTCACAGATAAGGCTGGCAAGAGAGGGGAGCTGAGAATGGTAGGGGAGACTGAATTACTAAGCACCTCTGGGCTTGCTGGGCCCTACGTTAGGTATTTTAACATTTCCTATCAAAAACAGACATCATCTGGTAAAGTGTCAGGGCTGACAGTCCTTAACAACAGGGCTGAAAAGCAGGCTCCCGTTGGGAAGGAGGAAGTCCCAGTCCCAGCTGACAAGAGCCCCCACCACTCCCTGCTGGCCGTCAGTCTGCTGGCGATGTTCGTTTGTCTTGACCTGCCTGGGCCCTGTTAAAAGAGGAGAGCAAGATCAGTTTTAAGGAAGGAGATAAATTTATTTTAAAAATTAATTTTACAATGAGATAATCTGGAAGTTATTCTGTGTCAAAGGGGAAGACTGGATGAAGGACTAGGTCGGGGTTGGCCAACTTCTCCCCATTGCCCGAAACATGCAGTCACTTAGCCTTTAAAACAGCACTCAGAGATGTTCTTTTGCCCTATGGTCTCATGTTTCTCTTTAAAGATAATTTTTGCCGATGAGTGCACAGAAGCTGAGGGTCGCCACTGGCACATGAACCACTTCTGCTGCCTGGAGTGCGAGGCGGTCCTAGGAGGGCAGAGGTACATCATGAAGGACAGCCGCCCATTCTGCTGCGGCTGCTTCGAGTCCCTGTACGCCGAGTACTGTGAGGCCTGCGGGCAGCACATCGGTGAGCTTGCCCCACACGCCCAGTCTGTCTGTGACTGTCAAGTCTTTTCTTTCTTTTCCAGTTGAGGTGTGACTTATATACAGTGAAATGTACAGGTCTTCAGTGTTTCAATTTGATGAGTTTTGACCAGTGGATAGTCAGCTCTTGTTATTTGTGGTAGCTGCATTAAGTTCCCCTGAATCAGTCAACACTAAATCATTGCCCCGTGGGAAATGCAGGGTGAGGCTCCTCTGAGTCTCTGGTCACATTTTAATCAAGAGTACATCATATCTTGTCACGTGTGTTTTTGGTTTGAAGACACCTTATCTAATATATATTGTTGATTAACACTGAACTCAGAGCCATCTTATCTGACACATGTATTTTCTGTACCTCGTGCTTAAGAACCCTGGACAGCACTTTAGCACTAGGCTCGGGGGCCACTTTGAATAGTGAAGGTAACAGAAAGCATGAAAATGCAAAGGAAACATGGTCTAGATAGGCCAGCGTTTCAGCTGCTGGCAGTGTGGCGGCTGAAACAGAAGGCAGGGCACCGCTTTGTTTGACCTCAGCTGGGAACATGTGTACTGACCACCTCACAGTTTTCCCCACTCTGCACGTTTGCAAATGACGGTGAAACCTCGGCAGGTACTGATTTTGGGGTTGCAGTTAGACTTTAGCAAGTAGGAAAACTTGCTAATATGGGCTCTGCAATTAATGAGAATTAACTGTGCCTGAGTGACCCACAAGCCAGCAAGGCATGAAATGCTTCCACCTCCCGAGAGCTCCCGTGTGCCCAGCGTCCTTCTCCGTTTCTCCCTTTTTCCCTTGTTTGAAGATTGAACTGCAGCCTGTTATTCTGTCCTTTTTCAAATAGGTGTGGACCATGCACAGATGACCTACGATGGGCAGCACTGGCACGCTACAGAGGCCTGCTTTTCTTGTGCCCAGTGTAAAGCCTCTTTGCTGGGATGTCCCTTCCTTCCCAAACAAGGTCAGATTTACTGCTCAAAAACATGCAGTCTCGGCGAAGATGTCCATGCCTCTGATTCTTCTGACTCGGCATTTCAGTCAGCACGGTCAAGAGACTCCAGAAGAAGTGTCCGGATGGGCAAAAGCAGTCGGTCAGCGGATCAGTGTAGACAGTCCCTCCTCTTGTCCCCTGCTCTGAACTACAAGTTTCCAGGCCTTTCTGGCAATGCTGACGATACCCTTTCTCGGAAATTGGATGATTTGAGTCTCTCCAGGCAGGGAGCAGGTTTTGTCAATGAAGAATTTTGGAAAGGTAGGGCAGAGCACGGAACCCCAGAAGACCCTGAAGAATGGGCCGAGCATGAAGATTATATGACGCAGCTCCTCCTCAAGTTTGGCGATAAAAGCCTCTTGCAGCAGCAGCCCAGTGACATGGACATTCGAGCCAGTGAGCACTGGATATCTGACAACATGGTTAAAAATAAGGCCGAGTTAAAGGAACATAACCAGAGCCTTGCAAGTAAAAAATACCAGTCTGGTATGTACTGGGCACAGTCTCAAGATGGGCTGGGTGACTCTGCCTACGGCAGCCACCCCGGCCCCGCCAGCAGCCGGAGGCTGCAGGAGCTGGACCTGGACCACGGGGCTTCGGGATACAGCCCTGACCAGACCCAGTGGTACGCAGGCTCCCTGGAGTGTCTGTCAGACTTGAAGGCAGAGCAGAGCGTTCGGGATTCTGTGGATTCTCTGGCTTTGTCTAACATCACAGGTGTGTCATCTAGGGATTATGGGCATTTGAAAACGCCGCTAAAACGTTTCTTCCCAAAGTCCCGGTTCAGTACCAGTAGGGGTTGTGTTATTTAAAACTGAAGAGTAAGGGGAGGAAGGAGTTTCCATTCAATGCCAAACAACACTACAGCAGAACAAACCTATACATACATGCGTGCATATATAGAAAATATATTTTTGATATAACCTTTTTAAGTAGGTATTATTACCCTTACTTAAAGAGGAGGAAATTAATTTATGTGGATAATGCCATCTGCATCTGTGAAAAGGTCCTGCATTCTTCTAGATTATGCTGTATAAATTGAAGATATTTGAATCGGTCTGCACACTTTATAAATGCCTAACATTTTTGGCATTTTCCTGAATTGCCCTGTGGCACCAGATAGCTCAGAAAGAGCCAAATACTCTTTACCCAAACTATACAATAACTTCACATTAATGGTTTTATGCACATTCATATGAGTTACCCACATCTTATCCTTAAAATGACCCTGACCTGTATAGAGTGGACATTAATTGCATTTTACAAATGAGGAAACTTGAATTACCGAGAGGCTAAATGCCTAACGTTACATAGGTTTTTAGAGGCCGGACTGAGCCTGGAACCCAGGTCTCCTGAAGCTCCTTTCTGTGGTAACTCTCTGCACCCAGAAATACTGCCGCCACCTGGCTGGTTTTATGGCCACACTAATGACATCAGTCCTTCCATAAAGGCCACGTTACTGTAAGAGAGGAGAGGCTTCGGGGCTGCTCAGCCAAATGCTGCAGGGGCAACGAGGGGAACACAGTATGCCCCCCAGTTCTGTTGGCTTGTCACAGATAAGGCTGGCAAGAGAGGGGAGCTGAGAATGGTAGGGGAGACTGAATTACTAAGCACCTCTGGGCTTGCTGGGCCCTACGTTAGGTATTTTAACATTTCCTATCAAAAACAGACATCATCTGGTAAAGTGTCAGGGCTGACAGTCCTTAACAACAGGGCTGAAAAGCAGGCTCCCGTTGGGAAGGAGGAAGTCCCAGTCCCAGCTGACAAGAGCCCCCACCACTCCCTGCTGGCCGTCAGTCTGCTGGCGATGTTCGTTTGTCTTGACCTGCCTGGGCCCTGTTAAAAGAGGAGAGCAAGATCAGTTTTAAGGAAGGAGATGAATTTATTTTAAAAATTAATTTTACAATGAGATAATCTGGAAGTTATTCTGTGTCAAAGGGGAAGACTGGATGAAGGACTAGGTCGGGGTTGGCCAACTTCTCCCCGAAAGGGCTGGATGGTACTTTCTGGACCACACGGTCTCTGGCGGCTCCTCTGGCACCGCAGACAGCAGAGAACAGGCGAGAGGCGCCCCAGGGGGACCTTCAGCCACAACGGGCTGTGGGCGGGATGCGGCCCTGGCCACCACCGCCTGTAGGTATAAAACGAGGTGGACTAGGTGGAGGAGGAGGAGGACTGAGGCGGTCACGGGGTGCAAAGGGAGGGGCTGACCCCACAAAAGCTCACGTGAGGCGGACTGCTCGTCGGCGGACCGAGGGGCGGAAGCGCCTGCAGGTCGTGTCCGCAGACCCTCGGGGGACTCGCGAAGAGCCCCTGGACCGCTGCCGCCGGGGTGATGCGCTGCGACTGCCGCTCAGGCTGTGCCCTCGTACCGGTAACAAAACGCCTGCGTCACCTCGGGTATAAGTCAGACACTGAAATGTGGAAGAATTGTCTTTGAAGTGCTTCCTTTCAGTCTTTACTGTAATAATTATTGTAATAATTGCAGAATATTAGGATGATTGAGCATCACATCTTGGCTTGGCTTTTCTCCCAGGGGCTTCGGTGGATGGAGAGAGCAAGCCGAGGCCGTCGCTGTATTCTCTGCAGGACTTCGAGGAAATGGAGGCAGAAGATTGTGAGAAAATGAGCAACATGGGGACTCTGAACTCCTCCATGCTGCACAGGAGCGCCGAGTCCTTGAAGAGCCTGGGTTCCGAGCTGTGCCCCGAGAAGACGGTGCCTGCCGAGAAGCCGGCGCACCTGCCGGCGCTCAGGAGGTCCCGGTCGCAGTCCAGGCCCCAGCAGGTCAAGTTCTCCGACGACGTCATCGACTACGGAGGCTGCAGCCTCGAAGTCCGGCAGCCCCCGATGAGCGAGCGGACGCGGCGGCGCGCCCACCACCTCGAGGAGCGGGGACCCCGGTCGCCCCGCCACCGCCACCGCAGGAGCAGGAAGTCCCGCTCCGACAACGCCCTGGACCTGGCCGCGGAGAGGAGGGGCGCCCCCGGGGACAGGGGGCGCTTCTACCTGCCCGACAGCTACGAGACGTTCATACGGAGCAGGGGCGCCCGGGAGGCCGCCGCCTACGGCCGGGGTGCGGGCCTCTGCGGGCAGTACGCCCAGGCCTCGTCCGACTGCGCGCTGCGGAGCCCGGGGCGGCGCTTCCTGGGCCTGGGCGGCGACGACGACCCCTGGGACTCGTCCTCGTCCTCCTCCGAGTCGGAGGAGGAGGGCTACTTCCTCGGCCAGCCGATCCCCCCGCCGCGGCCGCAGAGGCACGCCTACTGCCCGGACGGCCTCTCCGGCCCGGCTCCTGTGCTCCCCGCGCCCCAGTTCGGTCAGAGGACAACCAGATCCAAGAAGAAAAAGGGGCACAAGGGCAAAAACTGTATCATTTCCTAACCGAGCGGCTCTGGCGTCCTGTTTAGGCTTAGCCAGCAACCGCCTCGAGTCACCTCTTTTCGCTTCCATAGGAAAGTTGCTAAACTAGTTAAAAGCGCTTTGCCCGTGGGAAGGAGGCCCCGGCTGCTGCCCAGCACCAGGACCCCCTCGGGACGGCGTGCTTCCTCCGGGCGGACACGGCATCGCGTGCCTGGCGGTCCGTCGCGGTCCTACACGGCTGCTTTCATCTCCAGATCGCAAGAGACTGTCGTGGGGAGATCGGACGGGGGTTGATCTAAGACAGTGAACTTCAGCCGCCTTTGTAACACGAGAGTGCCAGCGTCCGTCCACACCAGGCTGGCCCGGGTTCTGGTCGGTCTGTCTGTGCGACATGCACACAGTCACACTGACCCAGCGCATCCCATCGTGTGGGGCCACCTCGTCCCCTTCCCATCTTCATTAGCCAGGTAAACATTGTATTAGTTCCAGCTACAGACTAAAAAAACTTGCTATTTATAATGTAGTATTTCATAGACTAAGTGTATTCCTAATTTAACGGTGCAAATATCCATGTACATACTGTACAGCTCAGATTTTAAAGCTGATATTTTTATATCCCTGAATCGCAAGGTGTTATACTGCAGCGCTAGGTCTGCTGGGGAGCCAGGCACTGCACTGACGGAGGAAATGATCGCTTGTATTTTAGTCAGCGTGTGTAAGTGTAGGTGGTCAAATTTATATTGCCTAGTGATGGAAGTTCAAATTTTTTTTTGATTTTTCAATGTTAAAAAGGCTCCCTATGCATGGTGGGGCTATGTAAATACTCTTTAATCTGGCCCCAATGATCTTATGAGTGCTATTTATGGGTCAAGCAATGTAAACTGTATAAATGTAAAAACAAACCAACAACCCACACATACCCCTGGAATATATGGAAAAAAAAAGTAGAAGCTGTTCGGGTGAATTTTTTCCCCCTGGCAACCCCCCAACACCCCATTTTCAGCACGGTGCTGACTATCTCACAGGAAGAGTCCAAAACAAGGATCTGCTTTTTGGGGCAGAGGACTTTGTAGATTTACTATCTGCAGAGGAGGTTCCTTTTCATCCCTTCCTTCCCACTAACTTGTTGGCCTTTAGCAGCAATTCTGAAAACCGAGCCTTCCGGTTATGTTGTTTTTCTTTTAAATCCTAAAATCAGAGGCAGATCGACACCTCAGATCTGAACTCATGAGCTGATGCTCCAGTGTGTGCCCCTCTTGCACGACCTTTCAGCCCTAAGGCCCTAGTGGTGTTTGGACCTTTAGGAAGGCATTTAATAAATGCTTACTAAACAGAAAACCTTTCTAAACACAAACCTCTGCAGACACCCCCAGATTCCCCCACGCCGGCCTTCTGTCCAGGTGTGATCGGCTCTGCTGCTCCTGCTCTCTGAGCAGATCTCTCGCTCCTGCCCGCCACTTGCCCCTGAGTAGCTGGGGAGTAGGACTTGAGGTGCAGCGGCACAAAGCTGGCCACGTTCACCAGTGTGGGAAAAGCTAGTAGGGCCTGGCAAGGAGGGACGTGAACCCACAGGGAAGCAGAGGTCGACGCCCCCACACCACCCCTGGATAGACTGGGTGTCATAAGTCTGGCTAGACAAGCACCAGAGGTCAGAAAGCTCTTGACTCAGTGACTGTCACTTCCCTCGTCTGCTTCATTTACATACATACCGACAATGAGAAAGAAAGGCATGCATGTGGGGGAAAAAAGTGCAAACAACAGAAGATAGGGAAGGGTCTCCTTGCCCCTCTTCATGCCCAGTCCCTCAGTTCTCTCTCCAGAAGTAACCACTATTAGCTATTTCTGGTGTGTCCTTCCAAGCATGTATACCTTTTAAAATGGTAGCAAACTATACACACTACGCTGAGGCTTAGTTTTTTCCTGTGTATGTGGACATGCCATGTCAGATGCAAACCGGTCTTACCTCATTTGTTCAGTGACTGTCTAAGTCACTTTTGGAACTCCCATCATCTCCTTCACCAGTTCCTTAATGATGGACTTGATGTCCTCTGAGGTGCCTTATCCTGCCCTGGCACACGTGCACGTAAATTCTGAGCAGCATGATTACTGGGACAAAGGTCGTGCGTGTAAATCTTTGATGGCAGCACCAGTTCTCCTCCAGGAACTCTGCTGGCTGACGGTCACACTGCTTACCCCATCACACTCTCACCTATCAGTCGATTTCCCGACCTTTTCAGAACCCGTGCTGCGGACAGTGGGCATCTTCTGGGAAAGGACTGTGATAGGCTGCTGATCAAGGACGGAGAACAACCAGCAGGCAGGTGATGCTTCAAGCCTGGTCAATGTCCTCGGTAGCTTTCCCGTCAGTCATTCCCAAATCCCGGAGGTCAGTTCCATCGGCTTCCGGCAACCACCACCTGTTTTCTCATCTCATGTAAGGGGTTATGTGGATTGCCGAAGGTTCAAGGAGATGCAGAAAATTTTATTCACAATACTAATGTGAATAATCTCCAAAGCTTTTAAATCTTTGCAGTTGCAAAAACAAATTAGACTATCTACAAGGAGGAAAGGGAAGTGACTACCTTGCACTGCAGTTCTCAAAGGATCAAGCAAGAAAATTAAGCATATAGTCACTAAATGGTGTTCACAGATTTAGTTAACAAGAGTGTACAGTCTCTGGTCAGTCACTAAACTCTGAAATTTGGTCCCAAGACAAACATCAGATGCTAAAACCCTGCCTCTAATCTCTACATGTGCGAAGCACAACTTAGGAGGGGCATTTTCCTCACCTCAGATCAAAATGGGGAACATTGTGCTTAAAGCCCACAAAGGGATGCAGACAAAATAAATGTCGCAGAAGCCTTGTCAGCCCTCCTCGACTCACCATGCGAACACGCTCACTGTTCCTGACACTTTGCTTTCCGGTTCCTGAGTTAAATAAAAAGTACCCAAAGTGAAAGGAGATGTCATTTCTGTCTTACCCCTCACCTTCGACCTGGGCTGTGGGCCTTTTTAAAGGGCCAGTGAAAGTACTTGGGGGCCCGAGACTGTTAAGATTCTCCTTGCACGCCCCTGGGTGGTGGGGCCCTGCCTCCGGAGTCCCTGGGGGGCTTCAGCACAGGCACTGACAGGGTGAGCACACCTGGCTTACCGGGTCTGCTTTCCTAATGGACGCTTGGCCACCGCCATGGAAAAGAACCAGTGTCGCTAGCCCTTCAGATTTTTCAGGAAGAAACTAGGAACTTGAACTTTGGCAAAATCCTCCAGCTTTTAAATACCAGCAACTATTCAAATGTCTCTGAAATACTTTGAATAAAATGAGCTTGCCACCAGCAAGTCTCCAAGCACACGGGATACATACTCAGGAGCCGGAAGCTGAGTCCCCTGTCCCTTGGCGGGTCCAGGGGAGGCCCAACTGATCACCGTTTACAGAAACACATGTGGCCTCTTCTGTATGCACAAAGAAGAACGACCAGGATAAAGAATTCCACTAAAAGCCTCATCATCAGTTCAATGCTGGTAACACAATTATGATAAAAATCCTTTTTAATTAGTCAAATGAGAAAAGCTGCCAATTGCCTGGGTAGATGCTCTGGGTCTTCTTTGAAACTATCAAAAACCAGAGGGCACTCCCCTGTACAGTCCTGTGGATTCCTGGGGAGACCGGGCCACGGAGAAATGAGCAGCAGCATCTGAGCTCCGCACCTCTGAGCTCCTGTTTGCCAAGGGGACACAGTCGTAAACTTCAGCAGCGGAATGGAGTTTATGGGTGGCTGTCACAAACCGGTTTGGGAAGGAAATGAGGAGAAAAGTAAGACATTGAATCTATACAGACTTGGCCACAGGATTAGAGCCGATTTACTCTCTTTGAACAGACCCGGCGAGGGGGTCAAGTATCCCGATTTTAGGGATTCATTTTAGCCTTAACTCTTCTTTTTGCAAAGGAAATTTCACATTCCAACTGCTCTGTGCACCCAAGGTATGATGCAACTTTGGAAGTGGATTTTAGCCCATTCCCTGGAAGCACTTGATTCCAAACAACAAACAGTACTATTAATAATGTGAAACCAGTTCTTCTCGATGCTGACATTTGCTTTAGTGTCTTTAGATAAATGAATGAAGCACTGACATCAGGAAGGATGACGACTCGTCTAACATAAACCCACCCCGGAGCTGACCGTGCAGAGCGGGGCAGAGCACACCGGCCCCGGGGTTCCTCCTCCTCCAGGCAGGTGAGGCGTCTGGCCTGTGAGTGAGGGTGCCAGGCCGGCTCCGAGGCTCCCCTGCAGCGTGAGTGTTCTGGAGGCCAAGCTGCATTCATCCGGCCGGTCAACAGCAAAGCCTCCCTGCCCAGCACCAAGTGTCTCCCTTTTCTGGCTCCCAAGGATTCCTGAGAGGACCGTCCCTCCACGAGGGAGCTGGGGACTTTGAGGAGGGCTGGGTTCCGCTCCCGCACGGGACTGCAGGGGTGCAGGGCTGTCCGCACCATGAGGAGAAGCCTGAGGGCGGTCCCTCCTGCCGGTGCATGCACATCAGGTGGGCTTGTCTTCCGCAGGGAGTGCACAGAGGGCACGATACTTTCCTCCCTTAGGTTATTTCTCTGGAGTCATCGTGAGGATAGGAATTTTTTTCAGAGAGCTGGCAACAATTATAGTCTTGAATCTCTGAGCATGTTGTAAGCAAGGCTGAAAAGGTGTTAAACTATGTTTAATTAATCTGGGTTCCTAGAATAGGAGAACTGAATTACCAGGTTCATTCCACTTAAATGGCCCTTCTCAAATTCCACCACGGGTCCAGCCAACAGCCCAAGAGCTGAGTCCGGGGCTGCACTGTGACTGCAGGGGAGTAACCCTTCAGGCCACCTGCCCCTTAACTACCCTATGAACCTCAAAGGTGTTTCCTAAAATCACGCCGAAACAGAAGCCATAGGAGATAACAGAAGTGTTTGAGGGTAAAGAAAAAAAAAAAAACAGGAAAAATCTACTGAACTAGGATTCAAATTTTCTCAAAAGTTTTTTTGTAAGTTATTTTATACATTACCCATTATAATTACATTATGCATCACCTACAGCTATTGAGCGCTGGGGTAAGGATCTGAACACAGTTCTAAACAGTGACCAAATGTTTCCCCTTCTTCCAAGAACGCTGGGTTTACAAATGAAAGTCTTGGGTGAAACTCGGGCTCTGCCACTTCCAGCTTGGCCTTAGCCAAGTTATAACCTCTCCTGCTCTCGGCTGTCGAAAAGAACAAAATCCTTGTCGGCTTATGACACGTGAGAGTGAATCAGAAAACACTGGGATGGTGGTTCTAGTCTTGCTGAGATAGTGAAATAACTGAAAAACAGTGGCACTGAGAATCTCATGAAGCAGTGCACCGACCCTGACATACAGTAGGCTACGCCCAGCGCAGAACGAGATCCCTCTACAGAAGCGGAATGCCTGGCCTAAGAAAATGGGCAATTCCTGCCACAGCAGGGCTAGTCCTGCACCCCGTGCCATGGACACTAGGCCCAGCTGCCCCAGAGGACCAGGAGGTACTGAGCGCTCCGTCCTCCCCGGGACCCTGGGTGCAGCAGGCTGCCCTGTGCTGTGAAGAAAACACGATTCTCACCAAGGCTCACCTCGGCATGGAGTAAGCCCCAGGGTTCCTAGAACGCCACCCACTGTGATGTCGCTGGACTGCGGCCGTGGCACCCCACCGGGCAGGACCCATGGCTGGCCAACGTTCAGTCCTGTCTAGGGAAGGAGGACGAAAAGCTTGAGCACAGAACTGATGCCTCAGCCTGGTAAGGCTCCCCAACCCCGGCCCCTCCCTCCCGTCTCAGCCACACCCACTGCCCCACCCACCCGGGGCGACCCTCCTCCCCGTCCCCACCACGCAGGCGCAGGGCGGGGGCAGCCAGTGGGCTGTGCTGGGCCTCCTAGAAGGGGTCACAGACACTTGGCCTCTCTCAGCGTTTGGTCCTGAAGGAGGAACTTCCCAGCTCGGAGGACACAGGACGGCACACTGTCTGCTGGTCACTAGGGCCTCTCCCTTCCCCTGGGCAGCTGGCCAAGCTCACTCTGCAAACGCTTGATGCCCTCAAGCACAGCAGGGGCTCCACCAAGAAGCCTGAGAGTTGGGGGTGCCAGCAGGCACTCCCCCAAACAGGGCCCTGAGCCAGAAGGGGCCTTCCCCTGAAGGTGCTGACCTGAAGGCCCCGTGGCCAGTCGCCAGGGCAGCGCTGTCCCCTCCCTTCCGCATCTCATGAATTCCAGCACTGTGACGGCCCTCGAGAAGCCCAGGCAGGGGGCGAATGCCTCGGGCCTCCAACGGTCTGTATGTGTTGTGGCTGTTTTCAATCTACATGGTCTCAAATGTTTATATTTCAGCAAATCTCTACCCTCTCTCTCTCACACACATGGAAAAAGCTTTATACAATTTTAGTGTAACAGTCCAGCATTAGAAGACCATTAGTCTGTGGGAGCAGAAATTAAAAAAAATGTGCTACAGAACCAGGCCGTCTCTACCACTATACAAATGTGCATGAGGCTTAACGATATTGTCATTAAGTGGCATCCTAAATACAACTTGAAACTATCTCAGTGGCCTGGCAAAGTCTCGTACAGAGCTGATGCCTGTCACCCCAAGGCCAGGTATTGCCGTGGCAGCGGGCGGTACAGCCGGCCGAGGGCCAGGGTCAGTGAGGCTAACCCTCAAATAGTATTTGTATTAATTTGAGCAAAAGGCGAGCTGCCAACAAAAAAAACAGTGATGCAGCCTAATGTGGCATTGATCCCTCTCCCACGGAGGTTCAGTCCTCTGTGGGGATGCAGGGGCCCGGGCTCCCTCCACCTGGTGTTCCTGCACCACAGGAAGGCTGCCTGCTGTAGCCACGGACGGGCAGCCATGAAAGAGCATGGCAGAGGCACGTCATCGTCCTAAGGGTCACGGCCTGGAAGCAGCACCGCTTCCTCTCAAATTCCACAGGAGAGCAATCAGTCCTTTGGTCACCCCTTACGGCGAGGGGGACACAGTACCAAAATCGGGCCATGAGTGGTTCCGTTCCGACTCCGCTCTGTGGAGGAAGGGGAGGTCAGGCTCTGCTCGCCACCTTACCTACTGTCCCGCTGCCCATTTTCCTTTGTCAGCGGGCTGGGTGAGATCAGGCCTCCCCAGAGACTGCAGGGAGGAGGCCACAGCCGTACCAGCCTCACCCACAAACCACAGTCTGGTCAGCAGCACGGTGCCCCCAATGCTCCAGGCGCCAGCTCAGGCAGGGGTGCAGCTGTAACGCCACCTGGGCGGCTGGCTGCCCAGGACACAATGCTGTCACCACGGCAATTCAGGGGTGACCACAATGCCATCCCACAGTCATTGCCACAGACGTGTGGGCACCCTCCTGGGAGCCTAGGGTCCCTGCAGGAGACAGAGAAGCAGCTGAAACCACTGAGCCACGCCCTGGCGGTGGGACAGAGGCCCTCCTTATGGGGAGGCGGCCTCCCCTTCCGCAAGAGGCTCCGGGTCTGTCAGCTGGCCCAGGGCTGGGGAGTGGCTGAGGGGCTGTGAGAAGCAACATTTTTGGCAAGAATAAATACAAAGGCAATACTTTCAAATCTCTTAAGTAGGAGAGGAAGAACAGAGCTACAAGCACGCAAATTCTTTCACATTCTGCTCTCAACCTACCTTTTCCTGCCTTTGTTCCCAGTCACCTTCCCCAGCCACCTCAGTCACTCGGGCCTCTACACTTCCTCATGCCGCTTCCCTCTCCCTGGACTTCTAACACTTCCCGTTCTCTGTCTGAACAAGTCCTATTCCTCCCAAGACCCACAGGTCAAATGTCACTTCTGAAGTGCCAACAGGCATGAACACCCGTAACACCCCAAACCTGTGCTGGAACTGTGGCCACAGAGACAGCAGGGTTCCTGCCCCCAGAGGCTAAAGACAGAGGGTTTTAATCCTAAGATTCCTGGAAACTCAACATTTATATTTACACAATCACTGAGCACTACCTTCCCTGGTATCAAGACTCCCTGCATCACCAAAGCTAACTGTTCCCCAATTCCCCAATTTCCCCCGCCCTGCAAAGCAGATCAACTAAACACTAAGGCGTCATCTTGCAGTGGACAGTAATAAACATCTACATTTGGGCAACACATGTTTAGCCTGTTAAAGAGAAAAAGAAGACAATCTAATTATTTAAACCTGTTTGCTTTATTCTGCACTTTTAAAATTCACAAAAAAGTTCACAACATCTGTTCTGCCCCATTGATCATCAAGTCATTTATAAGACAATGAAATTTTTATCACATCAGTTGGACATACTCAAAAACAATAGATTATCTACGAACAGTTTATTTAATCAAGAACATTTTGCAAAATACACGCTCTGATACACATCTGAATTTATCCTAAATTTAGACTCTAAAAAACTTTAAGAAAAAAAAAAAAATTGAACAGATTTAACACAGACAAGCCTATCAGAATAATGCTGATGGCAAGCTATCAGCAACTTTAAATGTTGAATGTAATTTGGGGGAAGGGAAAAAGAAGAAATTATCTGTTTAAATGCATCTGTGAGTAAAACTTCTCTCGTTTAATGGATTTCAACAAGTGAATAACAACTCCTTGGTCTGTTCAAGTGTTAGGTTTGAACTTGAGACACACCGACTAAAGGAAGTGAATCCTGAAATTAGAATGTTTAATGAGGAGAAAAACATGGGGGCAGTGGAGAAACAATATCAGTACTTTCTTAATCTTTCTAAAGTTGATAACAAATAAAATTGCTGTTCATAATTAGGGAAGAATACCAGAGATGAGACCTGGGCTTAGCTGTAGCTTATGTAAAACATCTAAATGGCGAAAAAGAGAAAAATTCAAGGTCTCATCTGGGGATTTAAGAAAATAATTCTTGTTTTCAATTAGTTTTTACATTTGTAGAATGGCAAAATACGTATTTTGAGGTTCCCATTATAGGATCTGCTATAATCGCTTCTACTGCTATTTCCATTTTTAATGTGATTTTTACCTAGTCTGCAGGAGGTAGAGTAGCTCTTCAGGTATCATCCGTAGAAGATACTAAAAATAATGCCAGAATTCAAGTGAGAAGGGAGTGGAAACGGAATGATTATGACATTGGGTAATAACAAACAAGATTTTGAAGTTTTCCTAACTAATGCCACAAAATCGCTCACGCTGGCTAAATGCCACTGGCCGTGGAAGTGAGCGGGAAGTGAGCGGCACACCCTGCCCGCCCCAGGGGGCCTCTGGCTGAGCCGGGGTGCGGGGCCCTTCCTGGGGCTCTTCACAGACGCCGTCTAGGGAGGGAGCTGGCTGCTCACCGCCCACTCTGCCTGGCCTCCCTCAAGGACACTCTTGAAGGACTCAGCACCCCCGCAAAGGGCAGCAGGACAGAGAAGTGCTGGATGGCAGAGGCTGAGGCAGGCATATCTGCGAATGGTTTAATCGTGGATATGCCGTCAACCGCCTTCTTTTCTGAGATGGGGGATACGGGCCTATAGAAAAAAACGAAACTACCCGGCTGCCTCACATTCTGCAGTTTTCTTTTTTCAATTAGAAGTTATTAACAAAATGTCCGCTTTAAAACAGCCTTCCTCTTTCACCTCAAATCCTACTCTTACTCTCACATACATACTGTTTGAGACTCACAGACCAGGGAGAGCGGTCAGGAGTTTCAGGATTATTTTAATAGAAGACACTGAGTTTCTTTACTTGAAAAACAGGATTTTATTAGGAAGTGTCTTTTAGAGATTTAAGTGCTCTATTTTATCACAATGATAATTACTCTCGAAGCAAATATTCTTAAGGGTACCAAAGCAGTCCGTTTATTTGGAGAGTGAACTTAAACTTTTAAAAGGTACAAAGTGGAAGAGAAGCAACCAGTCAGTAAAACCGTGACTCAGAATTCTGGCAACTTTCACGCGGCGCCTCTGATGGTGAGAAGAGAAAGACTGTACATGGTAAAGTGGGGGATCTCTGACCTATAAGACACTCGTGCGACCGAACGATCGCGTACAGTGGATGGCTACAGAAGTGAGGGCGGAAGGCTGTTCTCCAGAACTGCTTTTTCAAAGCTCGAAAAAGTCACTGACCAATCATTTTAGGAGGGAAAAATAAAGATAAGTACGGGTTAGGAGGCTCTACATGTAGATTAAAAAAGAAATTTCTAATTAAAATCTTTTAGACTATTTTAATGTTTATTTGATATTGGAAATATGGTCAACTATCATAAAGTTTTTCTCTTTGTCACAAAAACTCCATATATTAAGGATTTTCACAATCCAGGAAAGGAAAAAAATCTAGAAACATTTTTTTGCCTGAGCAAGTAATTTCTAAAAAGGCTCTCCAAAATCTGGACTGGAGGTGTCATACTCGGCAATGAAATGTTTGAGTTCTTCAACACACCGCTCACCTATTTCATGTAAATTCTGTCTCAATGCAAACTGTATAGACTTCTCTAATGAAGGATCTTTCTCAATCAGCATTTTCACAACCATCCCGAAAGTTTCACAGTCTTGTCGGTAAACCTAGAAAGGTGAAATACATTGTGGTTAGCTCAGGGTGGAATCGAGAGCCGAATGCTGAGCTGATTCACTGGTGGAAAGATGATATTAAAGTCTGAGAGAGACACGGTAACACAACAGACCCCTCTCAGCCCTGGGTGGTCGTGACTACCCAAGGCCATTCAAACCTCTATCTCCGAGATTTGCTGACAGCTTGAGTGAGTAGAAAGACACTGACAGACCGCATCACTGACCGCCGCTGTCAGCTACGGCAGCCCACCAGAAGGACATGAGGCTGCAGAGGAGGCGAGCTGAGGACACAGGCTGGCTAGGTGAGGCGCACCCGCGGCTTTATGCATTTACTCGCAGGAAGAAAAAGGATTAGGAGACTTCAACTTCAGATCATTTGTTTGAATCATCACCACATGACAAACTCAAAATTGTTTAGCATACAACAAACAACAAGGCCTATTTGAAAAAAACTCTTCAAGTTATAAATATTTAACCATAGTTAAAGTCACTGAGGCAGAGTTACGATCAAAACAGTATGTTACACACACCCACATGTACATATAAATGCACACATATATCCATACATGCATGTGTCTGCCTCAATGTGTATATTCTACTTCAATATGTATATATAATATTTATTAGTGGCAATTAGATGGTATTGCCTGTCTAAAAACTGCTAGCTGTTTTTCTACACCAAATGTCATTTCCTTAATTTGTAGTCACAAAATGTACTTCAGATTTCTAAGCTGTTTTTCATGGTCTGTAATTTATCTATTTAAAGAAAAATTATAGTTAAGTCTCCATGGAAATTAAGTGAAATACAAATCATCTGATTTAAAAGAAGTTACATTAATTTAAATTTTTCTAAATAAAACAACAATCAACATACATGCTTATTCTCTGAAAAAGGATTTTGTCCATCTTGAAAAACTTTAGGAAGAAGTGATTTGAGACACTGCTTGGATTACGACAGTTTTTATTCCTCAGATGATCATTGCTAATTGTTGCGGTAGTTGTTTGCTGTATTTTTTAAATGTCTTAAACTTAGAAAACAATGTGCCACTCACAATATTCCATAGGATGTCAAGGCAACGGAGCACCTTCCCCCGAGTAACCCACACACAGGATGGAAGCCAGAGCGTCCTCGTGGGGGGTCAGGGCCACAGGGCGCAGAGCCTCAGCGGGGGAAGCCCTCCCCAAACCAGCAGGCCCTCACCGTGACAGCACTCACGCCGGCCGCAGGCCTCCACCGACCACTTGGTGGGTGGCCTGAATTTTATAGGCTTTTTTATAACAGATGTGCTAGATGAAGATAATGTTACACTGTAAATTAACCTGCAAATTCCTTAATGTAAATTCTGATTTTACCTAAACTGTTGCTCTTCATTTAGCATGTTTACAGAACATAAACATGCTACAGATTTACATATCAAAAGTAAAATTACATTAAAATGTGTCAATACATTTATTTAAATTGTAAACTACTGTCACTCAGGAGACAAGACTGTATAAGCACTTAAAGGTTGTTTTATTTTTTGTTAAGTCCTTTTTAAATTATTCAATGAATCAGAGAAGTTTCTGTACTTTCATTGACACTAACAGCCAGGACATCTCTACCACAGGGTAAAATTTTTAAAAAGACTGTTTAAAATGCCCTAATTGGGCATCAGACAGGAAATAGTTTTTTGTTAAAGGAAGAACCTCACCCTCCAACATTTTATAAATAAAATTCACTACTGTCAGAGGTCCATTTCCGCAATCTGCCCCACAGTGACACGCCCGAACGGGAAGGGTGCGGCTTTGGGTGGGGGGGTCACATTTGTTTGCTTATGGCCCCTGCGTGGAAACGCTGCACTAATCTGCAGATCTGGTATCTCCAGGCCACACAGAAAGATCTTTTTTGTTGTTGCTTTTCCCCCTGATTGGACTCATCAAAATGAGAAACATGTTAAAGTACGGGTGGGGTCCACATAAACTGCAAGACATGTAGTTAATTTTGCTAGCAAAAGAAAAACACGACCCAAATGTGGTTTCACACAGTCCTTTGTTAAAGGTAGCCGGTGTTACCAGTCATGTTCTCACAAAGCACTTGTGGGAATAAAGGGATATGATAAAGTTAAAACTTCCAAAGCTTCTCACTATTAATTATGCTGTCCAGTGGCTGGCAGAAGCCCATGTGGCACAGGAAACTTCCCAATGGCAAGTTTGTTCTATGTGAAATTGCTTGTAAGGACGTAAAACTCCCCATCCAAGTCCTCACCTCTGTTCCCACAAAAAGAGAAAACAAAAATTTAGGTAATGTAAATTACTAGAATTTCATTTCAGACAAACCATCTTTAGCACATGCACTCAAGTTCTGTAAAGGCAGTTTGGTAGAATGGTAGAGATTAAAGAGCTCTGCTATCTAACATAACAGCCACTAACCACAGGAGGCTTCTTAAATTTAGACATATATGCTTATACCTCTCTTAATATTTGACTTAAATTATATTAATATTAGGAGGTAACTGGTTAACTGCAAGTCAGACTTGCACACAGGCTTAAAAGGCTGGGGAATCAAATGAGGACAAATGTCAACAGATGTAAAAGAACAGAAATCATAAAAGCATGTTCTCAGACAAAAATGGAATTAAATTAGAAATCAACAGCTAGAATGTCCCCAAATATCTGGAGATTAAACAACACATTTCTAAAAACATATGGATCAAGGAAAAAGTCTCAAGAGAAACTAAATATTTTGAACTAAATGAAAATAACACATCAAATGTGTGAGCTAGAGCAAAAGCAGTGCTTAGAAATTAACAGCATTAAATGCATATGTTACAAAAGAGAAAGGTATAAAATTAAAAATACAACTAGAAAAAGAAGAGCAGATTAAAATCAAAAAGAAAAAAGATTAGAACAGAAATCAATGAAATTGAAAACAAGAAATGAGAAAACTGAAGAAAACTAAAAGCTGATTCTATGACAAGATCAAAAGCATAAATCTCTAGCCAGGCTAATCAAGAAAAAAAGTGAAGACACAAATTATTAATATAAAAATTGAAATGAGGGTCACCACTATTGATCTCATAACCACTGAAGGGACACTAAAGGAATATTATAATTAACTCTATGCCCATTAATTTGATAACTTAGATGAGCTGGACCAATCCCTTCAAAAATAGTCTATCAAAACTCAAAACAAGGAGAAACAGATAATGTGAATAGGCCCACATCAATGAAAGAAACTGTATCAGTAATGTACAGCCTTCCTTCCGAAACAGAAAGCACTTACTAATCCCGGATGGTTTCATTGGTGAGTTCTGCCAAACATTTAAGCTAGAAATGATATGAATTTTCTACGATTTCTTCTAGTAAGCAGAAGGAAAGGGAACATTTCTTGACTCATAAGGTTAGCATAATGCTCTTACCAAAACCAAAAATACTACAAGGAGGGAAAATTACAGATCGGTTTCTCTCATGAACACAGATGCAAGAAAAAAAAACAAAAAACAAAAAAAGCCAAACCCAACCAAACATTAGCAAATCCAGGAACAAACAAAGAGAATTATGCTATGACCAAGTGGGATTTATCCAGGTATGCAAGGCCCGTTCGACATTCAGAAATGATCAGTGCGATCCCTACCATCAATAGGCTAGAAAAGAAAAATCACATGATCTTATCAACAGATGCAGAAAAAGCATTTGACAGAATTTGACGCCAATTCATGACAGAAACTCTTGGCAAACTAGGAATACAGGGGAACTTCCCTAGCTTGATAAAGAGTATCTACAAAAACCCTACAGCTAACATCATGGTGGAAAAGAAAATGCTTTCTTCCTAAGATAGGGAACAAGACAAGGATATTCCCTATCACTACTGCTATTCAACACTATCCTGGGAGTCCTAGTTAGTATGGATAGACAAGAAAAAGAAATAAAAGATACACCAATTAGGAAAGGAGAAATAAAACTGCATTCACTGAGGACATGATTGTAGAAAATTTCCAAACTGACCAAAAAAAACCCAAAAAAGCCCCGTCAACTGGAACTGGAGCCATCATTTTGTGTGGCTGCTCTGTGTCTAACGCTTTGTCATCCCTTTAAATGAAACCTGAAACTTGGACTGTTTTTCTATAGGGCTTCAGGGATGCCACTAAAATAAAATTAGGAAAAATGAATCGGTTAGATCACGCGTCCCACGCCCATGCTGGGAAAAGCACTGCATCCTTCACCTCCTTGTGCTGTGCTGGGTGGATGCCTGAGATGGGGGCATATTCCATGGATTCTGTCGGGGAGGCGGGATCGTGAGCTTTTCTGCCAGGTGATTCAGTGAGCCAGGTACACGCACGCTGTGAGCTCACTTCTTTCCTCACATCATTCCGTGTTAGAAAGTTGACTTTAGGGGAAATCACTTTTCCTATTACGAAATTTCTCCACATCTCACAGTGAAATGTATGTCATGGCGTGCTGCTGAGCTTTCTCTTTGCCTCTGTTTTCTGTGGCATTAAACAGTTTAAATATTTTGTATGTACTACAGTTTAGAAAACTTTCATTTTTGTTGACGGTATCAAGGCATTGTGAACTTTCAGCTCAACACAGAAACGTCCTTGCAAATACAACAGTTTAGAGAGCCTTTTAAATGGACGCCACTCTCTTTCTAGTGAAGGCGGTGGGAGTGGGGGCTGCTAAGGGGTCACTGGACACCCCCAGGGTGCTAGTAAGAGCAGGAACCCAAGCGGGCGGGGCTCGCCGTAGCTCCAGCACTAGGCCACAGGCCGCCGCTGCGCTTCTCCTGGCTCTTCCTTCCCACCCCTCCCTCCCCACCCCGAGAGGGGCTTCTGGCGGCTGTATTTATATTAGAGGCCAATTGAAAAAAAGAAGACAGAATTTAAGGAATTTGGGCGATGAAGATGAATCACAGGGCTCACTAGATTATGAGTCAGGCTTACGGCGGTGTTGAGAAGGAATACAGGAAAAGTGGGTGGTAAATAGGGAGGCATGGGAAAAAGAAGAGAAATTAAGAA